AAAAATCAAATTGAAGCTCTGGAAATGAAAAGCTCTTAAAGTCAAATAACAAATTCAGTTGAAAGACTCTCCAGCAAACTGAATCAAATGGAAGACAAACTATCAGGGCTTGAAGATAAAGTAGATGTAATAGAAAAATTAGATGAAGATAAATTTAAAAAAATGAAGAAATATGATTGGAATATGCAAGAATTCTGCTACTCCATTTAATGGCCAAACCTATTAATTATAGGCATTGAAGAAGATAAGAGGTGCAAGTTAAGGGCATAGGGAGACACATTCAAAAAAGTAATAGCAAGAAACTTGCCAAATCTTAAGAGATGCTAATCCAGGTACTGGAGGCTTTTAGGACTCCAAATAGAGAAGACCAAAACAGAACTTCTGCATAGCATATTATAGTTAAAACATTAAGTACAAAGAGTAAGGAAAGAGCATTGAAAGATGAAAGGAAGAAGTGTCAAGACACATATAAAGGCAAACACACCAGAATAATAGCATATTTTTCAACAGAAACCTTAGAAGCAGGGAGGGCAAGGAATAGTGCATTTTAAGTGCTGAAAGAAAATAACTGCCAATTTACATTACTATACCCAGCAAAGTATTATTCATAACTGAAGGAGAAATAAACCTTCCATGATAAATAAAAACTAAAGCAATTTTGACCAGTAAGCTACCACTTCAGAAGATAATCAAAGGAATCCTACATACAGAAAGACAAATGCAGCCCTGACAATATGGGAGAAAAATAAATCTCACCAGATGTCTAGAAAATCAAACCAAGATCAGGAAAGAATCAAATACACATAAAAAGCAACAAAACTGCAGAAATTGCTACACACCTTTCAATATTAACACTGAGCATTAATGGTCTCAATTCTCCAATCAAAAGACATAGAATGGCAATTTGGATTAAAAAGCAAGATCTGACCACTTGTTGCTTACAAGAAATGCATCTCACTGATAAAAATAAACATCGGTTGAAGGTGAAAGGGTGGAAAAACATTTTCCAAGAAAAATGGACTCCCAAATTAGCTATACTCATATCTTCAAACCAAAGTTAAAAGAGACAAAGAAGGTCACTTTGTATTAGTAACAGGAATAATCCATCAAGAGGAACTAACAATTGTTAACATATACACCAAATACTGATATACCCAACTTCATTAAAGAAACACTACTGGACTTTAGAACACAGATAGACTCCAACACTTCAATACTCCACAATCACTAATAAATCAGTCATGCAGACAAAAAAAATTAACAAAGAAACCTCAGAATTAAATAGCACTACAGACCAAATGGACTTAATAGGCATCCACAGTGTATTTCACCCTCCAACTGAACAATACACACTCTCCTCAGCAGCCCATGGAACTTTCTCCAAAATGGATCATACTTTAGGACACAAAGCATGTCTTAGCAAATATAAGGAAGCTGAAATAACTCCCTGTATCCTATCAGACCATAATGGAATAAAACTAGAACTAAATAGCAAAAGAAACAACAGAAAATATTCAGACTCATAGAGACTGAACAACACATTGTTGAATGACCAGTGGGTCATTGAAGAAATAATGGGGGAAATCCAAAAAGTTCCTAGAATCTAATGAAAATGAAAAAACAACCTGCAGAATCTATGGGATATAGTAAAGACAAAGTTATGAGAAAAGTTTATAGATATGAGTGTCTACAACATAAGAAAAAAGAGATCTCAAATAAAAAGCCTAAATGACACACTTCAAGGTCCAAAAATCCCAAGAACATGTCAAATACAAACTTAGAATATGGAAACAAATAATAAAATTAGGGCAGAAATTAATGCAATACATATCCTCAAATATAGAATGAAACAAAAATATAAATAACATTGATAAACCCTTAGGCAATCTGACTATAATTTGAGTCAAAATACTCAAATTATTAAAATTAGAGATGAAAAAGGGCATATCACACAAATACCAATGAAATCCAGAGGATTTTGAAGGAATATTCAAATAAAATGGTAAATGTAGAAGAAATGCATAAATTTCTAAATTCATTTGACATACAAGCAATGAGACTGAAGCATTAATAAAGAGTCTCCCAGCAAAGAAAAAGTCCAAGACCCCATGGATTTACTGCTGACTTCTACCAAACCTTTAAAGAACTAATATCAATACTCCTCAAATTTTTCCATGCAGTAGAGTGAGAAGGAACACTACCAAACCCATTTTATGCAGCCAGATTATACTCATTCCAAAACCAGACAAGGGCACAACAAAAATAGGATTACAGACCAATCTCTTTGATGACCATAGACACAAAAATTCTTAATAAATACTTGCAAACTGAATTCAACAACACATCAAAAAAGATACAATATGATAAAGCTGGTTTCATACAGGGATGGTGCAACACACACAAACCAATAAATGTAATACAGCATTTAAACAGAATCCAGGACAAAAATCACATGATCATTTCAATTGATGCCGTATATGTCTTTGTTAAAAAATTAAATGTCCTTCTCCAGGTGGATCAAAGATCTTAAAACTTTGAAACTAGTACAGGAAAAAAATAAAGAAAATTCTGGAAGATATAGGCATAGGTAATTATTTTCTGAATAGGACTCCAGTTCCAGGAAATAAGAGGGAGAATTGACAAATTGTATTGTATCAAATTAAAAAGTTTTTGCACATCAAAAGCAATTACCAGAATCAAAAGAAAACTCACAAAATAGGACAAAATTTTCACCAGCTATTCTACAGATAAAGGATTAATGCCCAGAATATACAAAGGGCTCAAAAAACTAGACAGCAATAGAACAAGTAATACACTTAATAAAGCAGCAAATGAATTGAACAGTTCTCAAAAGAAATAATATAAATGGGCAATAAATACATAAAGAAATGTTCAACATTCTTAATCATAAATAAAATGCAAATAAAAATAACACTAAGATTCCATCTTACCCTAATTAGATTGGCAATCATCAAGCAAACAACAAATGCTGGTGAGAATGTCAGGGAAAAAGAACCTTTATATACTGTTGGTGAGAATGTAAACTAGTGTAATTAGTACAGAAATCAGTATGGAGGTTCCTTAAAAATCTACTAAAAAGAGACTTACTCTATTACCCCCACTGTGCCACTCCTGGGCATATATCTGAAAGAGTGTAAGAGTATAAATCAATATACAAGAGAAATACCTGAATACCTCTGCTTATTGCAGCTCTATTCATAATAGCTAAACTGTGGAATCGTTGGGGTACCCCAAAACACAACATGGAATATTACTCAGCCGTAAAGAAAAATAAAATTATGTCATTTTCAGGAAAAAGGATGGAACTGGAGATCACCATGTTGAATGAGTTAAGCCAGGCTTAAAAAGCCAAATTGCTCATCTTCTCTTCCATTTGTGGAACTTAGACCTAAAATGATGACGATGATGATGGTGATGGTGATGATGAAGATGAAGAAGCAGCACATGATGATAATGACACATGAATGTGAAAGGGAGACGGTTTGAAGACTCGGTGGGATGGGGATGGGGAAGGAAAGGATCCTGAGGAGAGGATGGGAATATAAAGAAGGGCATGAACTTGTTCACAGTACACTGTCCTCATGCATGGAATTATCACAATGAAAGCATGGTAATTCAAAAATACAATAAAACTATTTAAAAGTGACTAAAATAAAAGAATGTGGACTTTAATATAAAGAGATAACACTTTTATTAATTTGAAGTTTTAATTATTCAAAACATTTTCTTTCTCAGAATGATGACACTAATATTCTGCTGTGTTTTACTATTTTGGGTTTTGAATTATCAATACAGAATGTGCTTTTAAATTAGAAATGAGTAGGAATAGTAATTTTCTGGAGAAATCAGTGAACCCCAAAGTATATCTGTGGAGTTATAGACAGATCTTACAGATTTACACAGAAAGGGAGAAAACATCAGTTCAGCACTATTTTGGATACCTCCCTCTGCTCTGCCGATGGGGATGTGAGTGGTTTATTTATTCTGAAGTCAGTGTGTGCTCTCAATTTTATTGCTGCACCTATTATGGTGGATTTGAATGGTTTGTACACATACACATTCAAACTCACAGACACTCCAACACACATTTTGGTAGTTTTGAAACCAAGGTGAGCTTCAGAAGCTTTATGTTATGGTATGTGTTTTTGATTCATGATATGATTTTAAAAATTCCAAATTTTTCACCTCAGAAATTTGTGGTCTACATAGACTTGTGGAAAAGAAAGCTGCTTTTTATCAAACATGAAGCCAAAGTCAAAATTTTGCATAATATTCAAATTGACATGTGTAATACAGAATTAATTGTTTTCAGTCTAGAATATGAGATCCAAATGATACATGCATATAACAAGAACTGCAAGCATTTTGTCTTAATAACTCAGTGGAGTTTATATCCCAAAATATGATTTCAAACATTAACCATGTGTTATTAATAGTTACTGTGCAGAATAAATAAATCAGCTATCTATGATCTAATCAGAGTGAAAATACAGCAATATAGATTCAGCATCTATAATCCAAAAATCTGAAATCCATAATTTTGCAAAATCCCAACACTTTGAAAGATTAACATGACACTGCAAATTGAAAATCTACAACTGACTTCTATGAAGGGTCAGAGTCAAAATGCAGGTGCTATAAAAATATTGTAGAAAGATACCTTTAGGATATGTGTACAAAGTGTATGTGAAACATAAATCAATTTATGCTTCAATTTGATTCTCATCCCCACTATATCTCATTATTTATATGTAAATATTACAGAATCTGAAAAATATCCCAAATCTGAAACACTTCTGGATGCTCAATTTTCTATATCCATAGAATCACTGACTGAAAAAATTTACTTCAAACTACTTACAAAACACACAAACTTTAAACAGACTCATTCTTAAGCCTACTATGTAGAAACATGTTTTACCAGTTAAATTTAATTTCCAACATTTTTGTTTTGAATTTATTATCTATTAATATTTTACCTCTGGTCCTGGAAGGCCAGATGGTCCCTGGGGTCCTGGGTCACCTGGCTGGCCCTAAAAAGAGGGAAGGGGAGTGGAAAACCAAAGTATAAACATCAATAAATACAATTAAAAGAGGAAATAGACATATGGCAAACAAACAGCATTTAACACATTATGTCAGACAAACTCACATTGACTTGTCAGAGACTTAATTTGTAACCATCAGCATTGTGAAGCTTATTTAAATAATGTGTTTACAAATGTAAGATACACATTTATTCCTGTTAAGAGATATAAACATGTTAATCAGGTACATGTTCAAATCAAGAAAATAAGTGTGTGTGTGTGTGTGTGTGTGTGTGTGTGTGTGTGTGTATGTGTGTTCCCTAGAGATAGACCAATTAAGATTGACCCAACAAAGTAGAGAATCCTAGATGAGGAATTGCTTTCCTAATCAGAGTCCTAAGACTATCTGAAAAATCCTCTCCCCTTTGATACTGTAAATGGTCTGATTTAGTAACTAAGACTCGGATTGAAGTCCTTGTTGCTTAATCTCTCTAAACCTCAGGGTTTTTAAAATCAATAAAACAGGAATAATAACATAAGTATTTTCATAAAGTCATGTGGAGATTTAATGAGACAATCCATACAATACTAAGCACAGTGTCTGGCACATGAAAAGCATTATAGATGGTTGTCAAATTTATAACTATTAATCTTGATTTTCATACCCTTGCTCCTTTCCAGGCTGATACCTAAAATTTCTACATGATTGTGATCCTTTTATTAAAGTTTTGAGAATTTGGCTTCAGAATTTTGAAAGCCAGTTTTTGACATTCATATTAAAGTTATGAAGCCAGGGGTGAAGAGGAAAGAGAAGGCTGGCAAAACTCTCAAAAGATGAAATTATAGTTCCACTTGGTCTTTTGGTGGTACTGGGATTTGAACTCAGGGCCTCATGCTTGCTAGGCAGGTGCTCTATCATTTAAGCCACCCTGCCAGCCCGAGATGAAATTATAGAACAAGGAAGGTAGTCATCTAATGACATTCTTGTTTTCATAAGAATAACTAATTAATTCTGTACCTTTCTCCTATTAAGCTTTTACATATATATATATATATATATATATATATAATATATATGCTTCAAATTTGATTTAAATAGGCCTCAGATAACATAAAATTCCAAGATACAATATGAGATTACCTATTTTCCAAGAACTAAAGCACAATTTCTTCCTATATACACTGATTCCATTCTTACTATTGAGGTATCAACATGAAAAAAGGACACAATATGACTACTGATATCAAATCTAAGAAAAAAGGCAATGAAATATTATGCAAAGGCCCATTTTAAAATATGAGTTTATTCAGACTTACATCTAACAAAAACGAAAACTGTGATACATGAGAATCAATATATAAGGGAGTCTTGATCTAAAAATGTAAATGAATCTAAAAGGTACTCCCTTAAAGAGATAGAAATGGGGGGGGTCTCACTGGGGCCCTCTAGTGGCAAAATCCAAAGGAAAAGCTAACTAATCATCAAAGAAAACTAACATAAACTAGGCCTTTGTTTTTAGATAAGCTGATTAACAACAAATATTTAAAAACATAAATTATAGACTAATTTTATTCATTCTTCAGAATAGCTCTTTGTATTGCAAAATTTGGATTGCAATTTTCCTGTGAATGTCAGTTTTCCTTTATAAAAACTGTTTCCAAGTAACAAACAATGGAGTAATATTAAGTAAATATAAATGATAGAAACTTCTAGTTTAAAACTAGAAAGAACATAATAATTTAATGTTTTCTCTGTCTGCAGGAAAGAGTATTTAGAAGTTGTAGTTTTCTCTGTTTTTTTTTTTTTTTTAAATACTTACAGAACAAAAGCATCTCTGTTCCAGAATATAAAAAACTTCCAGATCAGGTCATTTTTTATATCTGGAAAGTATTCTTTCATGTTACAACTTAGATCCATTTGGAAACAATATCAGTAACATCAAAATGTTGATGATAGAAAACTGAAACTAGGACATATAAAATAGGAAAGACATCCTTTTGACTTTGGCATTTTTCTATGATAGCAAACAAATGTTTTAGTAGGTACTAAACTTTTGTAATTTAATGTCAGAGTTTGTTTCTTAATATGATAACTGATTCTGCATAAGCAACTTTTCAGCAAATAGAAGTGTCCTCCACTAAGTAGAGAGGTTTTCATGTCAAATATCCTTTGTATTAGTAAGATACAAGGAAATAAAGTATGAGATCAAAGAAAAGGTTTTTTTACTAATGCTGATGCATGAATCTATAACCATCTTTAGCTCAAAGTAAGCATTTTTCAAAGCTTTGAGAAAACTAACAGAAAAGTCAATTATCTCCCTAGCAATGTAATCCTTACTAATATTAAAATTTTTGTTAGAATAGTACAGGAGGTATGAAATGAGTAAGGAAAAACCTCATTCTCATCATCTCTTGTACCTGGCCCTAAAAGAACTTCATTAGCATTTTTTGTGATTTTTTAAGAAAAAAAAATTAAGTCACTGTGTTAATATAAAATGAGGTTCTATTCGCTTACACTGGAGAAATATTGGTAAAGTATAAAAAAAGAAAGTGTATTTAGCTTAGTCTAGAGAAACATTGGCAAGCTGTGTTACTAAGAGAGATGTAGTCACAGGACTATAAGGAACATTAAACATGATATGGTCTGGCTTTTATTTTAAACACGAGAAGCTGAATCCCATCATGATTAAATGCCCAAGATCATCACAGATCAAATGCGAGAGCTGGAATTATAATCCATCTTTTGAGAGATGGAGATCTCTCAAAAGATGAATGATTTTTTTCTGCTATAAACATATTATCAATATAAACTGAATCAAAGAGTAAGGACTTTTAATGTAGTTTACATAATGTAAATATCATATTTGACTCTAGCTTTCTCAAGAAATTGATGGCAAAGTATAAAACAATAATATTGAAATCATTTATTACTTAATACCAGGCTTAATGATTATGTTATTTCCTTTTATTGTCAAATAAAAAAAGAAGATATAAAAGGTTAGGGTCTTAAAGCTTTGCCAAACTTTGCAATATCAGAAGTTCTTATTGTGTGGCTTAAAATCACCCTTTAAAAATGTAAGTTTTTTGTCAGTTATCTTCATGATCTATTCTCATGGCTCATTTATGTGCTTTGGAGTTTCTGAGATTCAACTTTAAGGCAAAAATCTTGCAGCAGGTTGGCAGGGGGGTGGAGGGGCATAGCTAGTTAGGTTAATTGCCAGTAATTCAGGGTTTAAAAAAACTGAAAGAAATAGTCACCCACCAACCATGTCATTAGATAAATAGGTCCCCAAAACTGTTCGATGGGCTAAGTAACTCCTGAGAGATGTACATAAAATGTTGTCACTGTTAGAAGTCACAAAGAATGGAGTACATAAAAGTTCTGAAACTTAACATGGCTTCCTGAGATGTAAAAATAAATAATCCTGAGATGAGAAGGAGGATTTAGTGGTAATATAATAAATTGCTTAGGAAAATAACATCCTTAATGCTTATTTTAAGCCTATATTTCTGTATCTATAACCACATTCACCTTTGTATAGTTATAATCAAAATCTTAAGTGAAAAATCTTAAAAATCTTTTTAAAAAAATCTAAAATATCTTAAGATATTAAACCCTAAAACAGTAGGCACAGTGTCTAAGAGCACAGACTGTGGAATACCTAACAGGTATCTATGGATTGTCTATGAGACCTTGAGCAAACGCGTTAACACTCTGTATCTCGGTATCTTCAATATATAAAATAGGAATAATAATCATACCAACTTCATGGGATTGCTTAACTATTAAATTAGATGTTTAAACCTCAGAATATTGCCTGGCATTTTGTACACACTCAGTAAATGTTAGCTATAATAATTACCACTTTTAAAATTCAGAGATACATTTTGACTCAACGTATTATTCACTTTATATAATGATTTTAATTATTAAGTAGTCTTAGTTTTATAATTTGGGGGATTTTTATGTTAATTGCAATATGAGGTGTCTTTTTCTTTTAACTAATTGATCCCCAAGGGTTAGTATAAAGAAAGGGAATTAGAATATTTGGACCCAAAGAGTCTAACATGCTATCTTTTGTCCCCAGAATGTTTCCTTAATAAAACTGATATTTGGAAAAATTAAAATATTAGTTAAGGCACTTAAGCCCATGGCTTAATTTAAATAATGCCTATAATAGATTATTAGGAGGAAAAATATAGCTAAGATCTTTAGGGCTCAAAGAAACTTGCCTTTGGCCTTGGGATAAGAATATTCTAATAGTCTATGAAATATGAGCAGAAATTTTGAGGGATCAGCTACATTCTAAAATTGAAGAAAGAAAATGCAAGACTAATAGGCTTATGTCTTACTTCCTATATTCTAGTAACATCAACAAGTATCAAGACTCATGGAACAGCCTGAACACTGATAATAAGAAAGAACAAAGCAAAAGTTCAAACCTACTGAAGGTCCTGGCTTCCCTCTTATTCCTGGTGGTCCTGGCAAACCAGCAGTGCCCTAAGGGAAGAGAACAATGGAGGGAAAGAAAGCTATTGCATCACATACACGGAAATATACCTCTATCTGTAACTACTAAAAACATTCATGGGGGTGGTCTCCAAAAAAGTGAGAAAAATTAGTTTTAAACAAGAATTCAAAACAATATTCATACCATATACTAACAAAATACCTGATTAAAAATAATGAGTGATCCTTTCTTTTGAATTTATGCCTTTTTATGCTTATATAAAATTAATGGATAAATGTTACCTTATCTCCAGGATACCCTGGTTCTCCCGGCTCTCCTGCAATGCCTTGTTCACCCTGGAGAGTACAATTTTGTACAAAGACACGTCTGCATTATAAACATGCTTACATTACAGGAAAGAAAATATTAATTATAGAAGAATTACTTCTCTTATTTTCCTACTTCTAACAAAGTTAATATAAGTGACGATACATATTAGACCCTATAAGTAAAAACAAAAATTTTGTGTAAGTTCTGTTTTTGAATGTGATAAATTATATCTATAACAAAGTTTAATATTTAAATCACCTTATCACCTTTGATTCCAGGTAGTCCCTTTTTCCCTGAAAGGCCCTAAAAGAAAGATGACATTTTGTGACATCATGAAGAAATTAAAGGGGGAATGTCCATGATGCAAATGAAACCATACCACTGGGCCAGGAATTCCGGAAGGTCCAACTGGTCCTGAAGGGCCGACACTGCCCTGAAAAGCAGTAAGAAAGATGTTGTTAAACATTCACTAGGATTACACAGAGAATTGATAAAATTAATTAATAAATTCATGAATTTAGCCAGGAGATGGTGGCTCACACCTGTGATCCGAGCTACTCTGGAGGCAGAGATTAGGAGGATCATGATTCAAGGTCAGCCCAGGCAAAAAGTGAGACCCTATCTTAAAACCACCCCACATACACACAAAAAGGGGTTGTGGAGTGGTTCTAGTGGTTGAGTGCCTGACTAGCAAGTGTGAGGTCCTAAGTTCAACCCCCAATACTGAAAAAAAAAAAAGATAAATGAACTCAGAGTAGTTTATCTCACTAAGATCCCACTTTTGCCTGTTCTTCAACAATTTCTCCTTCCCACATTTTAAAATAACATCAAGCTTTTAACATTTGTTCAATCCATCCTATTTCCTGAACCCCTCTCCTACTAGTCTTGTGCACAAGAATCCTTCCTTCAGTTTCCTGTTCTACTTGTTGTCCATGACATTCGTCTTGCAATATTTTTCCAAATAGTTAACACCAGGCAGAAATATTTTAGTGTCATGTTCCCAGGAAGTAGTTAATAAGTACTTCACTTGATTGTCTTAGTTTTTATTCTATCCATTGTTCATCAAATGTTTGTTGAGCTGTTGTTATTATGTGCCAGGCATGGTAATAATTTGGTTTTATGATTTGAAATTTATAGAATGAGATAATTTACCATGATTTTAGGGACAAAAAGCTCTACTTTTCTGGGATTATCTGATTTATCCAGCATTTAATACTTACTGAGTCTAATATGCTTCAGACACTAACAGTTTTAAAAAAACAAAGATGAAAAAGACATAGTGTTTAATGTTCAGGTTCTCAATTTAATTTTCCAATTACTCAAAAACAGTACCAGCAGTATCATCTCCTACAAGTGAGAGACTTAGAAAATCTCCTTTAATATGTCCTCCTAGAAAACAAAGATAATAGGAGCAACAGGAGTATTTTCAAGAATAATTTGGGGGGAAATGTGGGCATCCCATGATGGTTTGGAGACCAAAGTACTTTCTGTCAAGGTCTCATTCCCCTTCTTCACTATCTTTGCCCTGGTTTCTATGTCATTCTTCATCCTGAAGACCAAGCTGCTTCACATTTCTCTTTATGAATGCCTTTGAAGATATAGTTACCAATACTGGGCTGCACTTCTACTACACTCCATTCAGTTTTTTTCTATTTCCTAGAATTACCATAACTGGCACATAATAGTTTTGAAATAAAGTGTGGAATGAATACTGATGGAATTAATTATCTTAAAAAAACAAATTCAAAACAGTAATCTCTAGGGTTCTATCTCCCAATACAGCAGTGCATTTGTAATAGTCTACATTTATATAATACAAGTTTCAGAATGGAAAGTATGACATCTTCACTTTTGGATGAGTCTTAAAGTCTGTGAAATATAACTAAGATGAATTACTCCCAACATGTTTAATCCTGAAATATATGGTAATGTTAGAAGTAAAGGATAATACTTTCCAGCTTAATAAATATGAAACATCAGTACATCACTGCTTGTAATTTTAAATTCTGTCAATAGGAAACAGTTGTTCTGACAGTTAAAGTGACTAGTTTATTCAAAGTTCATAGCTTTAACGCTTATGATCAGTTCAAAAGCACTTCTGTTTGGAAATTATACAGAAATAATCCATTTAAGTATGGAAAAATATCTCATAAACAAAAAGTTTTCTATTTGTATACTATTATTTTGTCCATAAGCAATACAATATTCTTGAATTTTGTTTCAGTAGATACATTACTGTGTATAATTTGACATTTTCAAATGAAGGTACTTTGTAAGTACAATATCCTATTTTACTTTTTCAGTGACTCTAAAAGAAAAATCATAAAATAGTAAGTATTGGGACATATCAAAAAAATCTGTTATAGAGGACTCAGTAAAATATAAAGTAAAAATTGAATGGTATGAAGTTTCCAAGAACCACCATTTATTTCATGGCATATCACAAGTTGTGTGGGAGATCCTTGTATCGAAAAACTATGGCTTTCTGAAAGCAATCCTTTTTTTTTTTTTTTCATTTTTCTTTTATTATTCTTATGTGCATACAAGGCTTGGTTCATTTCTTCCCCCTGCCCCCACCCCCTCCCTTACCACCCACTCTGCCCCCCCCTCCCCCCCTCAATACCCAGCAGAAACTATTTTGCCCTTATTTCTAATTTTGTTGTAGAGAGGGTATAAGCAATAATAGGAACGAACAAGGGTTTTTGCTGGTTGAGATAAGGATAGCTATACAGGGCATTGACTCACATTGATTTCCTGTGCGTGGGTGTTACCTTCTAGGTTAATTCTCTTTGATCTAACCTTTTCTCTAGTTCCTGTTCCTCTTTTCCTATTGGCCTCAGTTGCTTTAAGGTATCTGCTTTAGTTTCTCTGCGTTAAGGGCAACAAATGCTAGCTAGTTTTTTAGGTGTCTTACCTATCCTCACCCCTTCCTTGTGTGCTCTCGCTTTTATCATGTGCTCATAGTCCAATCCCCTTGTTGTGTTTGCCCTTGATCTAATGTCCACATATGAGGGAGAACATACGATTTTTGGTCTTTTGGGCCAGGCTAACCTCACTCAGAATGATGTTCCCCAATTCCATCCATTTACCAGCGAATGATAACATTTTGTTCTTCTTCATGGCTGCATAAAATTCCATTGTGTATAGATACCACATTGAAAGCAATCCTTGATTGTTTTCAGCTCATAAAGGGAACCTGAAGGTTATTCAATATTCCTACCTACCACGTCCTCTTCTGTGAGAAGATGGAACAGATTAGAAGAAACACTGTCATGTATGAGAGTTTAGTTGCAGGTGTCTGGTATGCAGTACCAGAGGCAAAATAATCTCCCACACAGCCATAAATAATAAACTTCCAAGTTAACAGTTAAGAAAATTAACACAAAGCATTGGTTCTTTATATTAAAAACAACAATCACTGCTGATTAATAATATCAGCATATTGTGGAAAGGACTGTGAGTTCCACACTGGGCTTTTTAACCACACCCACCATACCATAGTGGTGGGTTACTAGTGTAACTTACAAAGCAAACAAAAACAACCACCTGCATGGAGAAAGATAAATAGACAAAACAATAACATTGCTTACCAGAGACTCTCCCTGCTTTAATTTTACCACAGTTCTAATAACTGTGTCCCTGACTCAAATATTTCTTTGAACAAGTTGTTACCTTGTGCTTTGCAGCAATTAGTTAAGAAAAAGAACATCAAAATTGAAGTCAGAGGACTTTTATTCAAATTCAGGTTAAAACTGTTGTGGCTATAATTTATGGCATAAAATTTGGAGTTTTAATTATATCATAATTAAGTGGATACTTCATATGTTAAGGCAAGCTCTAAACTGATTTTTAAAGAAAGTTTTACCTCTGCTACTCGTCATATCTACTTTGTAAAGATATTTGTAGCTTACTTTTAAGATTCTATTCTCATTAGGCTACTGATATTTTATAAATGGGCATCATTTCTACCTTTAGTTCAGTTGAATGCAAAAGCATATGGGCCCTAAAATTTATGTAAAATATCTGTAATTTATATTCCTGTCACAGATAAGTTTGACTGAAATATTTATGAACCTGTATTGTAAATATCAGTCTGTTCACTTGAATGAATAATCTAATATATATCAGAAACATATTTATTTGGACTACATTGTTTTGGCTTCATAGAGTTGTTTTTGTTAAATTGTGCTTTGCCTTCATCAGAAACCCTAATGAAACTCAAGGTTGAACTGGTTAAGCAGATAGTCACATGTCTTTCCAGTATAATAAATGAATCATTGAAATATTTAATGACATTGGTGAAGTCTTGTTCTTCCCTTTCTTCAGAATGGCTCTCCTAACCATTTATTCAGTTTTATTCCATGAACTAAAATCTACAGTTATCATGTGTTTTTGTTCATGTGTTTGTCTCTCTCCAAATTGGATGGTATGGAAGATTAACTCAGAGGACAAAAGTGGCTCTTCTGTGTTTACACTTTCAAGGAAATTGAACCCTAAGGTCCTCTAATGATATCGGTATAAATATGTGTATACATACATATAAAACTATAGAAATAATTTTAGCTTATCATAAAATGTGATTCTTTATTTATATAACTAGTCTAATTTTCTTTCCTTATTTATTAGCATATAATTGTTGTACAGGAGTATACATTGTGATATTTACATATGTGCTTATAATAAATCTTAGATTTAGCCCCTTCATTGTTCTCTTCTCCCTTCCCCCAATTAGAATAATTTCAACAGGTTTCACTCTTCTGTTTTCATATATGAATATAAAATACACCACCCTCATTCACCCTTTCCTTATGCCTGCCCTCCTCCCATTGGTTCCCATTCCAGAAAAGACCTCTTTTACCCTCCTGCCCTTCATTTTTTAAAAGTATATTGATATATACTTCAGGCATATATATAGTGCTTTAATAAAATTAACTCCCCCCATCACTTACTAATTTTCTTAATACCATTCTCCCCTAATATTCAACAGATTACAGTATAGTACATTATATTATATTCATATATCAAGGCGTTGTTTCAGTGTTTTTATTTTCTATCCTTTTCTTTCCCTCTCCTGCCTGGCATAGTTCCCTCAGACTCACTAATACATTTTTGTTCCCTCACTATATGATCATATATGTATCTGTATATACATTTAACTTACAGGTCTATCTTCCACATATAAGGGAAGATCTGTGACTTTTGACTTTTTGAGCCTGGCTTACTTCACTTAATGTGAATTTCTCCAGTTCCAGCCATTTACCTGTAAGCAGCATAACTTCATTCTTCTTTATGGCTGAATTAAAACTTTATTGTGTATATATACCACATTTTCTTAATCCATTCATCAGTTGTGGGGCATGTTGGCTTCTTCCAAGCTTAGCTTTGTAAATAGTGCTGCAATAAATATGCTTGCACAACTGGCTGTATTATATCTTGGAGTACATTCCTTCAGATATATGCCCAGGGTTGGTATCACTGGACAGTATGGCAGTTCTATTTTTAGTTTTTTGCAGAACCTCCATAATGCTTTTCATAGTGATTGCACTAATTTACATTCCCACCAACATAAAAATCATAAAATATGATTAAATTTTTTATTTACACAACTAGTCTAATTTTCATATTTGGTTAAAGCATACATTTGAACAAGGTTGATATCCAAAAAGAACACTAAAAACTGTCCATTTTCCTAAGCTTTAAAATCACATATAAAAATATAAATTATACAATAAAATATTTCATAGGAATGACAATATTAAATGTTACTTACTCTAAGTCCTGGAAATCCTGGAGGACCAATGCCACCTACAAGTCCCTATTATAAAAGAAAAGTGCAAACTTTATTAAATGTAATTTCAAACTACTGAAGGTATTTTCTGTACATGAACATAAATATTTATAAAAGTGAATACACAAAAAATTTACCTCCTATTACAGCTAACTTCTGAAACTACCCTATTTTTATGCATCTTCCTGAAAAGGGCAAATCTATGTAGATAATTAGTGTCTTCATAGATACCAGGACTACCACCTGCCCTAGGCTGTAGAATTCTCTATGCCTCCTATGCACGTAATAAAGGAAATAAATATAATTGGTTATCAATATTATAGACACAGCTAGCCTATATATTGTATGAAAAGACAGGTCGTAGCATATAGCGTTAGAATAACATTAGTAGTTTAAAACACTTTTATTACCCCTTTTGAATTATTTAAATTCTCTAATCTTTATTTTTCTCATATATAAAGCAGAAATAATATATTTTAATTGTTGTAAAGATTATAATATACTAGTGTTACATCATTTACATGGCACAAGTACAGGGATAAGTCCTAACTCCCTTTTTTGTATTTTAAATTATTTAGAAACAGACACAGTATGAATTATAGAGAACTATAAACCAAGCTAAAAATAACCAATTTACTCTTGCATTTAAGGACTCAAAATACTCTTCAAGAAGAATTATGATATATTTTAAATAAAGAGCAGATTTTAAAAAGAAAGTTTTAATATTGTAAGAGTTCAGCCCTAATAGGCTTCACAGATATGTTGACAAAAAATTAAGTAAGATGGCTTCACACTAGGTATGCAAGCACACAAACAGTATTTTTTAAAACCTAAATAATGCTATTTCATTATGCTTGAAATCGGAAGTTCACCAGAATCATGGGCAAGAAAAAGATGGTAACTATTCTATCTAAACCACCATTCAACTTTTTAACAACTTATAGCCAGTTTACTCTTGCATTTAAGGACTCAAAATGCTCTTCAAGAAGAATTATGATATATTTTAAATAAAGAGCAGATTTTAAAAAGAAAGGTTTAGAATTTATCTGGAAATAAGTTCTACTCTTATCTGCCAGGCCTTATAACAACTGAAACCTTGACTAAGTTCATCTTATCAGCTAACTAATTGTAATTTGGAAAGAGAATATAAAAAAAAACTATTTAAAAACTTTATGATATTGATTTACACATGTCTAAATGTAGAAACTTGTTCTAATTTAGGCTTATAAGGATTTTGATTCTAACTCACTTTAAAATCTAAAGAAAACAATGTATGCATGGTATAGGCTGGGGGTGGCGGGGGGGATAGTGATCAAATGCTCTTTGAAGGCAAAAGTGAGGCTATCTCTACCTAATGCCCACAAACAGAAACCCATCATCATTGCTTGGTAATGTAATGAAACTAATTTTAATGGTAAACTCTTTCCCAATCAGAACACCAACAGCTGAATAATCCCAAAGTGGAAGACTTCTCTATAAAACACTTAAGAAATAAGGTGGGTCAATAACAGGTGCACATTGTTTACATGAGGCAAGATGGTATTATGACCAGATATTTTTTAATATTTTACATAATCACACTTAATTTGGTCAAAATAATTAACTTTAATGTTTGTTATGAAGGAGTTATCCAAAGTATTTTGGCTTGTTTCCCATTTTGAAAAAAAATCACAAATTAAAATATGTACAATGGTGTGGAAACTGTCAGTGTCTATTCACATGTATGATGACAAGGATGGCTAGGCACTTGCTGTGGAGTATAAATGATGTTAGAACCAAGGCTGGATCTTTGCAATGTACTCACAGGACTGCCATCGAGACCAGCAGAGCCTCTGTCTCCAAAGTCACCTGGAAAGCCCTGGCACAGAAAGAGGAAGAATACTTATTAAAGTAAAAATACATAAAGAACTAATTCTCCATTGTGTTTTCTAATAGAGAATTTAGTAATAAAAGATATTTATTTTCTAACCCCTAAAGTGTAATGCAACAATTTTTTTTGCATTACATTTTATTGATTTTTGGACTGGGGGCATGGCTCAAGTGGTAGAATGCCTGCCTAGCAAGTGCAAGGCCCTGAGTTCAAACCCCAGTATCACCCCACCAGAAAATAATAGTTCTATGTTTTATAAAAGTTATTTTACATGCTACATAATATAACCAGAAAGATATAAATTTGTTCATCATATAAAGAATCACTGAATGAGAGAGAACATAACAAGATTTCTTACTGGCCAATTCATTGGTTATTTTTGCTATTTCACATTGTTCCTATAACTATACCACAGAGAGCAGCTATTATTAAGCACATATCCTATGCACATAATAAAGGAAGTATTTACACAGAGTATTATATATACATTTTTCATCTTCATGCTGGGCAAAGTCCATATTTCGAAAACAAAACCAAAAGAGTGCAGGCATAGCTCAAGTGGTAGAGTCTAGTCAGTGTGAGGCCTTGGCTTTAATTTCTAGTAATAGGGGAGAAACATATACCATTAAATTCTTATAACTTCCTAATTTAGTCAAGCCAGTATTAAAGAATACTAGATTGCCAAAAACCACTGGTTCCCTAGTATAAATGTTGGTCATTGTATAATCAATTGTTGAAATACATGTTGATAATTATATCATCAATTTTTAAAAATAATTTCTACCAAATCTAGATTCTTTTCTTATTTATGAAATACTGTACAGTTAATGCCACCAAAAGCATCATTATATTTGACTATATATTGGGCACATAATATTTTCTTTAAAAGGACATCATGTCAATGTTTAACGCTGTAGAATATTTCATTATTTGTTACCAAATATTCATGTATTTCAATTCTAGAAACTACATGCACATTTTTATTGCGGTTGAGGGTTTGTATTCTTTTATTCGTGAATCTTAATATTTGCAGCCACATATCTTCATTGCCAAAATAATAATCTTCAAGATTTGTTAGAAATACATAATGTAAGTAACAAAATAGCTAGCATTTCATGTTAATCTTGTTGCCAATGGAAAGAATTCTTATCATGCTTCATAAATTTCATGTCTGTATCTATTTAAATACAAATTTAAGGGCTTGAGGCATAGATTATTTAGTAGAGTTCTTAACTAGCAAGTGTAAAGCCCTGAGTGCAAACCCTAGTATTGCTCCCCAAACACTATAAATTTAGGAATAATATGAACTGTTCAGTACAAAATATTTCTCTTCTTCCAAGTGCAACTATTGCAAATATCACACCAATTCTTTGATTTTTGGAACTATACACCAGCAAAAAGAAAGGAGCAAGAAAATAAAGCTCTGAATTACTAGAAAACAATATTTCAACATACAAAATTCTACTGCATTGATGCTGAGAGGAAAATCAGATAGTTGATTTATCTTTCCTCTTACATAACTATTTCTGCTGCATGAACAAATTGTCATACTTTTAAGTAGTTTCTGTCTCCAATATCAGCAAAGGTATCACCTACAAACTTCATGACCTTCAAATAAGAGATGTGCAGAATTTTTCTGAGGCCTAAATACACTGTGGTAGCCAGCCTCAATGATGGACTCAATGATCTGTGACTTTTGGTCCATGCTCTTCTGTACTCCCCTCTCACCTTGAATCTTCCATAGATTTTTGTCATACTTTAGTTAGCCAAATATGGTTATTACAGACTATGCTCCATAAAGTTGAATACAGAAAAGACACTTTTCTGAAAGAGGCAGAAACACTTAAAAATTCACACACTTTTCCTTAATACTCTAGTGACAGCAATTCTTTCTTTAGGATACAATGAACTGTAACTATTTTCTCCCCCCATGAAACAGAGAAAACAATTTTTAAATTCACAAAATGTATGTATCTGAGACACTACTGTGTAGTATGTATTTAAGATTGCCATGGGCCAAGTATAGACACTGATAACAGATGTCAAACAGAAGAATCTTATATTCAGAAATTCTAACACTGGGATTAGAAGCCAAAATACAGTTTACTTCAAAAAGACTTTCCCAATAAAAAGATACGTGAGAAAAGAAAAGACACTTTTTTTCTATAGTTAGAGAGGTGAACATCTCTGAAGTTTGGGTGCCTTGAGGGTGCTATTTTCCTCACTACCCAAAGGGTGTGATATTTTTGTCTTCATAGAAAGGAAAATCAGTATGGTTTTGTTCTTTGTCAAATGTATTTATTTAATTTATTGCAGTACTTGGGATTGAACCCAGGGCCACACACCTGCTACCCAAGTGCTCTACCACTTGAGCCACACTCCCAGTCCTCTTTGTCAACCTTTAAGTATAATAAAAATTTTGATTACTTTATATTTTTATGAGGTCTGAAAAGTCTCCTTGAAGAACATCTGTATTTTGAGAACAGTTTTCTAGGTGTTGTTGAGAGTAAATCCCATCTGCAGTTTCAGGTTACCCCTCAATTCTGGAAAGTTAATGTGGTTGACCAACTTAGTATAAGGAAGATGCTATGATTAAATAAAGATGAGAGTCCTGTAAATGCTTTTGGAAAGCAACTCTAGAATTTCCTGACTGGTACACGGTGGAATGAACTTTGGAGATCTTGCACTAACAAGGAAGCTACTTGAATTAGGTACAATATATAAAATCCACAATTACCAAATACATACAAATCATCTCTCCTATTTTTTCTTACACAGCATTTTTGTTTTCTATTATGACTCAATGGCTACTTTATGCTTTTAAAGAATCTGACTCATACCAGATATGTTCCAAGAAGCTTCTCAAATGCAGACAGTAAAGTATATAAATTTGATCAGCACTGCTATCATGTTTAAAGAAGGTCTGATAAAGAAGGTCTACTCCTTGTTTTTAATCAGAGACTTCTGGAGAATGAACTTTAGTTGAGTCCAAATATCCACAGATAGAGAGCAAAAGGATGGATTTACCCATGCCTCTTCAAAGGGAGATGGTTGGTTTTATTTAAGGTACCTTAGCATCCCATGGATGCCTTCTTAATATTAATTGCCAATACACATTTTGATCTAGTTGTGGCATGTAAAGACGAGAAAGGTAATAACTTTAATACTTCAATATCTGAAAGCATGAGTATACACACAAATAGACTAAAATGTAACTAACTACATGCTGTCTTTAAAAATAACCATAGTGATCAGTAAGGGACTGAATCAAGAACAGTTTATCAAAGGAACAAAAGAGAATCTCAAAGGCCTAGAATCTAAGATCAAGGAATAAATGAATGTGTTAATTTAACTCTTCTTTAATACTCTTTGACACCAAAGTATACCAAATTCCTGACAAAAACAATGATCTTACTTCAAAGTAATGGTCCTGGTTTAAAAAAATAAAAGAAACACTGTATTACAAATATTAACTAAATCTGTAAATGCTGAATAAACACAATATTTTATTTTGGGGAAAAGAGCATTTCCTGGGAAATAATATTTAAATAGAAATAACTTTAAATACAAATTTTAAATTTAAAAAAACGAATATGAGGCTAATAAATAATTACCTCGTTTTAAAACATTACTTCTTGAATAACCAAAACAATGTTGATTTTTTAAAAATGTGTCTATTTTGATGGCATTCATATGTGGATATATATGGGTTCTGCCTACGAGAAGACATATCTTCTAAATCCATAATTTATTAGAAAAACACCAATATCCCTAAGTTAGTTCATAACAACTTGATTTTATGTTTAGTGTTTACCCAGGAAGCAAGTGATCATTCGACCAGCAGTATAAACATGTGTTTTATAACAACAGCTTCCCAAATCTGAGCTTAGTAATGTTACTGTCATTAGACAATTTTGGACAAAATTTTTGCTCCTTTATGCGTCTGTGCTATACATATATTTGATATGATGCTAATTAATATTTTATGAACTATTCATTTCAAACATGGAGCATTAGTACACAGCAGAGAACCCAACTCAGTAATCCAAAGAAGCTTGTTTGATTAATATTTAGAAAGACCTGAACTCACATAGTTTTTCATGACTATAACTTTACTATATTACCATCAGTGTTTCATTAGTATACATAATACACAAAATAATTTATGTAAGCAATTTCTGGCCTTAGTTTTACAAACTAAAAATCTAAGTGTAACGTTACAGAAAGCTTAAAAGTTACTTTTTTGTTGTATGTTACAATGATTATTTAAAATTGAACCATACTCCATTTTCATAAGGTTGAGCATTTCCATCTATCTAAAATTTGAAGGAAACAAACTCATTTAAAACTGGACAGCGGGAAATGTCAGGCAGTGGATACTAAATTACAGTTAGAGATAGGAGTGAGAAATTCTGGTGTGCTATTGCACAATAGGATGTCTATACACAATGATAACATACTATATATTTCAAAAAGCTATAATAATGGACTTTTTCTGTGTTTTCACTATAAAGAAATGATAGAGTGTCTGATTTAAACATCACAAAATATCTACATGTATCAAAATATTATGACATTCCATAAATATGTACAGTTTTTAAGCAAAAGTTAAAAATTTAATTAAAAAGAAAGATTTCTTAAAATAATTAAACAGGAATAACAATTATAATAAAGTACATCTTCTAAGATTATTCTAACAGCAGCAATAAATAACATGAGATCCACACAGCAATATTATAATGAAACCTCAACCCAAACTTTTAAATAGCTCTTAAATCAGCAGAAAATTGAAAGTAATAGTCTTTGACAAAAGTTTCTTAGATACTGGAACATTTAGAATTCAACATTTCCAGTTTTCTGTCATAGCCTTTCAAATGTATATGTGCTTGCCATATTCTTTCTGGTGACTATACTTGTGCCTCTATTTGTGTATCTACTTCACATGTAATAAATAGTACATGTAGTTTAATAAATTACCAAGAGAAAATGGCCATATTCATATCCTACACATATAATATTATTCATTTCAAATATCATCAAAAGATGTTTTTCCTCCTACTGTTATAAAATAATAAATGGCCAAGCTTTCCATGGAATTTTAATTATCCAAAATGAAATAAAAATATCCTATGAAGCATAATATATCACTACCGCTACGTTCTTTCCCTTAATGCCAAAGTTATTTGAGGATGATTTGATTTACAATAAACAGAAATAATAACACCAAGAAATATTTATATATAGAAAAGTTTTCTGGAATAGTGTCTGAGGTCAGTCTTGCCATAACGGTCTTGTGGATGTAACTGCATCTTACTCTAATTACTCAAATTTTCCCTATAAATATGTATAAATCATTTTGTGGTAAAAGAAAGAAAAAGTATATATAGCATACATAACATATTATATAGCACCAGGCAGATTTTCAACTATAAACATTAGTTAGAAAAATGGGACACATGTGTTTTTCAAATATAATTCTTCTAAGGATCTAAATCTAATACAAATGCATGTATTTTAAAGCAATAAAAAATTTTGCAAATTTGTTCTTTACAGTGTAAAGAATAGGAAAATCAAAGAAAGATCCCAGTAATCACTTCATTCACCACTTTCCCACAATTTTCCTTTTGATTTCAATAGAATCCTGCTGGATAATTTATAATTCCCTGTGCAATAGGGAATTATATAACTTCTGGTGAAGTTGTCCATAAATTTCTCTGGATAATTTTATAATTCATTATGGAGTTGGAAAACAGAAATTACCTATAAATTGCTGGTGCCAAGATCAAGGTAATATCTGTGTAAGACCAGTTACATTAACAAATCAAATTGGTGGTTACCCAAGTAATATATAACTGGGGCTTTGAGAAAATTCCCAATTCGCTCACTGATGTCTACAATTCTACCACTGCAAATTAGTTTATTTTATCTTAAGACCCTATATAATTTTTTAAAATTAATAATCGGTAAGGTAGCACTTAAGCATTGGAAATAATTTAAAATCCATTATAAATTGCTTTCTTAATTCTTTTATTAATGATAGGCCCTGATAGGTGGCTGGAAAAATTTAGAAGACACAGAAAGATGTGAATAAATAAGATTAGACTGACATAGTGTCAATTTTAAGAAGGCCTAGATCTTCATCTTTATTTTGGAAATTTGACATGTGATAGAGAAGTATTTCTGTTAGAGTATGTGTATGAGGGTTAAAATGTAAAGGCTATATATGAAAAACCTATAGCCAACATCATACTTAGTGGGGACAAACTGAAACCATTTCCTCTAAAGTCAGGAATGAGACAAGGGTGCCCACTATCCCCACTCCTATTCAGCATAATCTTGGAATTCCTAGCCAGAGCAATAAGGAAAGAAGAAGAAATAAAAGGAATACAAATAGGTAAAGAAGTAGCCAAACTATCCCTATTTGCAGATGACATGATCTTCTACCTAAAAGACTTGAAAAACTCCACTGAAAAATTCCTGGATGCCATAAACAGCTTCAGCAAAGCAGCAGGGTACAAAATCAACTTACAAAAATCAATAGCCTTTCTATACTCCAACAATGAGCAGATTGAGAAAGAATATATGAAAACAATTCCATTTACAATAGCCTCAAAAAAAATCAAATACCTAGGAATAAACTTAAAGGATGTGAATAACTGCTTCGAGGAGAACTACAAACCATTGAATAAAGAGATCAAAGAAGACTACAGAAAATGGAAAGATCTCCCATGCTCATGGATTGGCAGAATTAACATAGTAAAAATGGCTATACTACCAAAAGCTATCTACATGTTCAGTGCAATTCTCATCAAAATCCCAATGACATTCATCACAGAAATTTAAAAATCTACCCTAAAGGTCATTTGTATACACAAAAGACCATGAATAGCCAAGGCAATAGTCAGCAAAAAGAGCAATGCTGGAGGTATCACAATACCTGACTTCAAACTACATTACAAAGCATAGCAATAAAAACAGCATAGTACTGGCACAAAAAAAAATATGAAGACCAGTGGAACAGAATAGAGGACCCGGATATGAATCCACACAGTTACACCCACCTAATTTTTGACAAAGGTACCAAAAACCTATGATGGTGAAAAGACAGCCTCTTCAACAAATGTTGCTGGGAAAACTGGATATCTGCCTGCAGAAAACTGAAACTAGATCATATTTGTCACCTTGTACAAGTATCAGCTCAAAGTGGATTAAGGACCTTGATATCAGACCTGAAACCTTGATGCTAGTACCATAAAGAGCAGGGAATACACTGAAAGCAATAGGCACAGACAGTGACTTCATCAGTAGAACTCAAGTAGCTCAGCAACAAAGAGAAAGGACTGACAAATGGGACTACATGAAATTAAAAAGCTTCTGCACAACAGAAGAAATGCTCTCTAAATTGAAGAGGCCACCCACAGAATGGAAGAAAATCTTTGCTAGCTATGTAGCAGACAAGGGACTGATAACCAGAATATACATGGAACTCAAAAAAAAAACTACACTCGGTGGGGGGTGAGGGGGCAGGGCAGGGAGGAGAAATGACCCAAACAATGTAAATAAATGAACAATAATAATAATAAAAAACTAAATTCCAAAAAAATCAATGACCCAATAAAGAAATGGGCAACTGAACTGAAGAGAACTTTTTCAAAGGAAGAAATCCAAATGGCAAAAAAATACATGAAGAATGCTCACTATCCCTGGCCATAAAGGAAATGAAAATCAAAACCACATTATGATTCTACCTTACCCCTGTTAGAACAGCCATCATCAAAAACACCACCAACAACAAATGTTGGCAAGGATGCTGGGGAAAAGGAACCCTCATACACTCCTGGTGGGAATGTAAGCTTAGTACAACCACTCTGGAAAACAATATGGAGGCTTCTTAAAAAACTAAAAATCCTCCATATGATCCAGCAATACCACTCCTAGGGATATATCCCAGTGAATGTAAGTTAGGTTACTACAAAGGCACCTGTACACCCATGTTTATTACAGCACTATTCACAGTAGCGAAGCTATGGAAACAGCCAAGATGCCCCACTACTGATGATGAATGGATTAAGAAATTGTGCTATTTACACACAATGGAATTTTACTCAGCCACAAAGAAGAGTGAAATTTTGTCATTAACAAGTAAATGTATGGAACTGGAGAACATCATCTTAAGTGATTAGTCAGACTCGGAAGGCCAAAAGTCACATGTTCTCCCTCATATGTGGATAATAGACATAAAACAAATGCAGCAATATTACTGGACACAGGTCACACTAAGGGGAGGCCACGCACAGGAGGGATTGGGCAAGGGAAGGAAGCCAAAAACTTGAATGAGGTTGATGTGCTCAAGGCACAGGAATGAATATAGAAATCTTAAACTGGCTGAGGCCACCATGGGAAGTAGACTAGGAAGGAGTGGAGAGGACTGGTAGAAATGAACCAATTGAGGTTGTAATACATATATGCATGGAAACAACACAAAGACTCTCCCTGTATAGCTATCTTTATCTCAAACTGGCAAAAACGCCATGTTTCTCTTGTTATTCTTTTATGCTTTTTCTTCTACAAAATCTGATAACAGGAGGGAGGAACAGGTTCTGCTCCAGCGGGGTGGAGGGGGAGTTGGTGGAGAAAGGTGCAGGAGGATGAATATGATGAAAATAATGTATACACATTAATGTAAGTGCAAAAGTGATGTTGAAACTGTTCCAGGAATTGGGGGAGGGAAGATGAAAGAGAGCAGTGGAAGGGGTGAATTCAAGTATGATATATTTGATACATAATAAGAACCTTTGTAAATTCTACAATGTATCCCACCTAGAACAACAATAAAAAAAAGACAAGAAAAAAAAAGAATGCAACAAATTGGGTCATTAGGAAGGTACAAGCAGACTTGGCAAATGCCATCCAAAGGACTCAAAATCTGTACTCAGGAAACAAACAATCTGTTTCTTGAAAATATAATTTGCCTAACTTCATTTTACCAAGAAGCAGAAGCCTTTTTTTAAAAAAAAATATCAGTATGCTTATGAATAATAAAGTATAAGTAAATAAAATAGCATATAAAGTATTTAGCTGAATGATGATAACAGTAATGGCAGTTTCTGTGGTTATAGTTGTTATAAGACCGACTTTCAAGTTAATTAATGCAGGAAAACAAAATGTTTGGATTACTTTTTATTTCTTGAAAGTTTGGTAAGTTTATCTTAAAACCTTCAAAGTGAAAATTTAATAGTTTTATCACATTTTTCCTAAATATCATGAAAAATAATCATGTGCCTTCTAAGCAGTGAGTAATACAGAAAATGAAAATATAAACACATACCTCTATAATAGATTTGTATTCTTAGAAGAATTATAGTTGCAAAACATTTGCATCACATTTTTCATTATGATTAAGATTTTATTCAGGCATACCAAAATTTTAAGCAAACAGTTATGAAAACTCAATTTTTTCCCCATATAATATAGGACACAACATAGTACAGAATGTCTTACCTTAAAAATGTCTTCAGATCATAATAAAAACACAAGTGGAAAGCAGTTATCTTATTAGCTAGGACAACCTGATGCTGCTCCTTTAGACCATGGTTTACTCATTTGTTAAATAAGGTATTGAATGATGTCAAAATAGTTTCCCATTTCTGGAATTACTGTATTACTTAGTAAAATTCAATTTCCTTGACTTTTTAAAATCTGAAAATAGAAGTAGTACCAAACTAGTCTTTAAGCTAACAACTGGCAGGCAATTTCAAAACTCTAGAACCTGAGGTTGAACTTCTAGGACATCTGATTATGCATGAGAAGGTTGAAATAGTGTTTTAAGTTGTTCATGGATTTTCTGTAACATTAGAACCCTAACAGGGAGATAAGAGTTTTTTTCCACTGGCATAGTAAATGGGTTTTATTTTTTATTTTATTTTATTTCATTATTATTCATTTATTTACATGTGCATACATTGTTTGGGTCATTTCTCCCCCCTGCTCTCTGCCCCCATCCTTCTCCCCTCCTCCCTGCCCCCATCCTTCTCCCCTCCTCCCTGCTCCCATCCTTCTCCCTGCTCCCATCCTTCTCCCCTCCTCCCTGCCCCCATCCTTCTCCCCTCCTCCCTGCCCCCATCCTTCTCCCCTCCTCCCTGCTCCCATCTTTCCCCCCTCCTCCCCTCGCTTCCAGGCAGAACCTGTTCTGCCCTTATCTCTAACTTTGTTGAAGAGAAGACATAAGCATAATAAGGAAGACAAAGCGTTTTTGCTAGTTGAGATAAGGATAGCTATACAGAGAGATTCCTAACATTGCTTTCATGTACAACTGTGTTACAACCCACGTTGATTCATCTCTAACTGATCTTTACACTGGTTCCTGATCCCCCTCTCATGTTGACCTCTGTCACTTAAAGGTTTCTGTATTAGGTCCTCTGGAGTGCAGACATCAAAAGCTTTCATGTTTTGGGTTTTCTACGTATTCCTATATCTCCCATATGTGCTCTCCCCTTGTCATGTGATCCAAGTCCAACCACATTGCTGTATTTGTCCTAGATCTAAAATCTGCATATGAGGGTGAACATACGATTTTTGGTCTTCTAAGCCTGGGTAACCTCGCTCAGAATGATGTTCTCCAGTTCCATCCAAATAAATGGGTTTTAGATATCATTCATTACATTTAGAGTTATTTTAAAACCTAAAATTTCCTTTGCATTCTCTAGTAGTATTTGATATACCGTAAAGTGGCAAAAATTAAACTCTGTTGAATGAGATAGATTATGGATGACAACAACAAAAGCAAAAAATGCATCTGTATTTTAATAATGTGAGAAAAATTATATTACTCAACACTGAACTCTAAGAAAGAAAAATCAAGTTACCTGTCTTCCCTTAATACCCATCTTTCCACGGATCCCAGGAATGCCCTAGAATATAGAAAAGTAAAAAGCAAATATTTGCTCAACAAATGAGTTAGATAGTGCAGATTTTGTTTTCTCAAGTATAAATTAGTGAAGTATACCAAAGACATGAATAAACTGTTTCATTAGTGTGGTGTTCAGAAAATCTCCAATATATTCATGTAACAGAAACATCGCATTTCCTCCTTCAAAACAGATTTCTAATTTTATTCATGAATCCACCCTATATACATCCAAATGGGATCCTGACCTTGTGATCAATTATTTGTCCAGAAATAGGCAATATCAATAATGATACAACAGAAAAATGCTATTCCCATATCTAAAAGAAGACCCCCTTCTCTGTCTTCCTCTCTGTTCCGGGTAATCAGTCCTAGGGTGAAGTCAACACTGGGAAAGGCAAGGCAGAGAGAAAGATGACATCACTTCGTTCAAGATCATCTTGGACACAGATCCCACCTAGCCTATGAATTTTTGGTCCTGTAACATGTAGGAGAGCATAGAACTACCTAAGCTTTTGAGCCAGACTATGCATGTCCAAATCTTGACTGCTTATACTACCTACGTTTAGTGTAAGAAAAGTTACTTTCTCTGTGTATGCCTCATTTTCTTCAGCAACAGTGAGAATAATAATTGTACCTATATCTTTGGGTTTTATAGGCAGTAAAGAAGTAAATTCAAATTCGAGTAATTTTAGAATTATCTATGTTCGCATTCAATTCTGTCATGTTTGTGTTATACATTTTGGGGTTCTGTTATTATATTTGCAAATTTTATGTCTTTACATTGAATTGACCCATTTTTACTTTTAAATATCCTTCTTATGACTAGTAATTTTTTGCTTTTAAGTCTTTTTTTGTGATAATTATCATAATTACCCTAGCCACTCCAGTTGTCTTTTTTGCTTTCAATTTATTTGTTCTATTTAATTTCAAATATCCCTCATATGATATAAAAAGTTGGATCACTCTTTCAACACTCTTATACTTCTGCTTTTGAATTGCAGTGTTCAGTCCACTTATACTTACTATAATTGCTAATAAAATAAGATTTATGTTTGGAAAAAAAAAAAGAAGTAAATACAAGGCTGGTGGAGTAGCTCAAGTGGTAGAGTGCTACCGTGTAAGACCCAGAGTTCAAACCCCCAGTGCTACCAAAAAAACCCAACATTAATTCATATGAAATATTTTCAAGGTATCTTGTGCATATATATGCATGTGTGTGTATATGTTTAGATATGTGTATATATGTATATACATGTGTGTATGTATGTGTGTACATATCATATGTATATATATGAAACCATTCAACAAATCATCTGCTATGCCAACACTATTATTAAAATTTCCTAATTTTAAAGCAAGTTTGAGGGGAGCTATCTAATTAGTTGCTATCTAAAGCATACTACTTAATATAATCACTTTGAAACTTGTAGTCACTAAGAAGCCTCAGAGACCTTACTCTTAAAATCTATCACAGCCAGGCATAGTGGTATGCACCTATATCCCCAGCTATTCAGGAGGCTGAGGCAGGAGTATTGTTTAAGCCCTGGAATTTGAGGCCAGCCTGGGCAACATAGTGAGATCCCATGCCAAAAAAGGAAAAAAGGAAGGAAGGAAGGAGGAAAAGGAGGGAAAGAAGAAGGAAGAGAAGGAAAATGGAGGCAGGGAGGGAGGAAGAGAGGGAAGAAGGGAGGGAAAAGAAAAAATATATATCAGAACCATGTAGCTTGGGACATATAGATACATCAAAAAATACCATTAGTTGAAATAATCTGTTTACTTTCAGGTCCACAGTGTTTAATACTCATGTCTCTCTGATTATCAACAAAAGGTTCACAGGTGGACAAGAACTCATTTCATTAAAACTTTATGTAAATGTACGTAACATGGCCAAGTTTCATTTTAAAGTAAATTTTATTACCTTCTCTAAATCACCCAAGAAACCTAAGAACAATGCAGACAAAATTATATAAGCATTTTCATATATATATGTATATATATTTCACGTATGTGTGTGTATATATACGTATATATTACATGCATGCATGTTTACATTGTTGACTTACAGAAAGGATTTTTTTATTTTCTGTTTTCAGGGGTTATTATTTTTTCTGCTTTTTTGTATCTATGTTGTATAGCATAACAACATCCAGTTAGCTCTACCATTTATGGTTTCAATGAGAGTTTGATGTAGACAAATGATATCAGGACATAGCATGATAGCACAGTTTCATGAAATGGTCTTACATTTATGTGTTGAAACAGATCTTGGTATTTTCATATAGACTGGTCAAAACAAGTGCATGTGACTACAGTACCGTGTCTGCCAATGGCCAAGGTCAACACTGGGTTTAAGACTCTTCAGTCCAAGATGACAACATTTTGCAAGGATATACAATTTTGATTTGTTATACAATTTATAAAAAAAAAAAAATCCATGCCAGAAAAGAACTGCATCATAAGCAGCAGGGTTATTAACAAGGTAAACCGAATATCATCCTTTGGGTCAAGAAGAGGCAGTTTAATTCTTTGCATGATAGATGGTATATATCATCTATGAGTCTGCTATATCACATGAAGGTTAAGTAACTAATCTGCTGTGTTATACTGAAGATATTTTTGCTATTGAATGAAGTGACTTGCTAGGTTCATGAAAGGAAAATCGTCATCTAATCTCACCAAAGAAGACTGGGTATTTTAATTGTAACTCCAGCATATTTAAACTCTTTGAAGATTTCTTCACTGCAGGTACATACGTAAGTAATTGCAAGAAAATGTGGTTTGATTTTATCACTCAAAAAACTATTGTAAGAATCAACTAAAGTCAGGTCTTTTCTGTCATAGGAGTTACTGTATAATATAACTATCATTGTGTAGATGCCAGCTAACCTCCCCAAATTGCTGCCTGCATGCTTTATGAAACATTGTTTGACCTTGAACAGTTCCTGTGATCAAACAAAAGGGCTGTTTTTCTTAACTGAATATGTTCCTGTTATTACCAGGTGTCCTAATCTCAATTGCTTGCTTAAGTTGAATAATGCCCAAAATAATCTTCTTGTTCTTCCTGCCCCAAGGTCCCCTTACCCCAAGTGCTCCCTTTTCAAATTAGCCAAACCTGTCCATCAGGGTGAGGGGCAGACCTGTGTTAGAGATGAAAACTGAGTGGACTTCCCACTCTGCACGTTTGCTGCTTACTGGACTCTGTCTATAGCATGCCCTTCTGCAGAAGTAAAATTTTGCCTTGCCAAGTTTCTTTTGAGTTTGTGTTTTCATTCCTTAGGCAATACTCTTGTACCCCAAGTGTATTTATAACACTATCTATTTGAAAAATACATTTAGTAAAGAATAACCTGGTTCATTTCATTTATAAAAATCACTTTCACTTTCCAGAAATGAAAATTGCTGACCTGAACTGCATTCTCATAATGAGGGACTAGAAAGCTAAATTCTGAATATGATTCTTTAATTTCAAATTCTGTAACAATATGCTGATATCATTTAACTCTATTTTTTTCAATTAATGCTATGTCTAAATAAAGGAACACAAATTGAAAGAACTGAGCTGCATATAACACTGAAAACTAGACAAGACAAAATTGCAAGGCCAGAACTCAGTACCTTGATTAATCAGCTTAAGTATAACTAACCACTGTGCAAAGAGTCTACCTTTATTCAAAGGTAGCTGTGCTAATGAGTAACTGTCCCATGGTTAAATAAAACAAAAATGTATCTCCTGAGACTAAATTCTTTGTACATTATATGGCAAAATACATGACCTGTTTAGAATTCATATTTGATTTAAAGATAAATTAATTCTAAAGTAAAAATATCTTAATTATATTTCAATATGTATGTTTAAACATTGAACTTAAAATGTATAATTGTCATATATGTACATGCCATGCTACTTCCTTATAAAAATTCAGTAAGATTTAAGAGCATCTAACAATATACCTGGAAGGTGGTTTTTATTAAACATAGCTTGCTCATTCAGTAAGATTATCTCCCTGACATCTGAACTTTGGCTCCTATTACACATTATCAAAAGCAGATCACTTTAAAAATAATATCAGAAGGACATCAGCTTACCCTTTCTCCTTCATTCCCCAGCTGTCCTGCTTCTCCAGGGGAACCAATGAAACCCTTAAAACAAGAAAATAATCTTTGGATTATTTCATTTGAATTTTCACCTGTACAAATAATTCTAAGTGGAAGTACTTAAAATCTTACTTATAGTAAGATTGAATTTTAAGATTTAAAATATGACTAACTTCCCTTGCCTTCTTGCTTTTCTTCAAGAAATTACAGATCAACCATTTTCATTGAAAAAAATGTAGGGAATGTAACTTAATACATGGCAGCTAACAAAGAATCATCAAGACCAAATCCTTTCCTTTGCTGAATTTTATAGCAGGCAGAAAACACACACACACACACACAAATGTGAGGCAGAAAGGAGATATCAAAGGACTACAAGAAGTAAAGAGGAAGAGTTCCATGCCAATGTAGTAGGAGGCATTGGCAACAGAAGGAGGTTTTGAAGGAAGCTGGCACTTGAGATAGTTCTAGAGAGTAAGTAAAACTTTGACAAACAGAGGCTGGAGAAAGAACACTCCTAGAAGAGCAGCTAGAGTAAGCAGACATAATAGGGAGTCTTTGTAAACAGTAACAAACACTGAGTGTTGATAGATGGTAACTGATTACATTTTAATGTGTAAGATGCTTTAGAGAATACCAAAGACCCATCCTACACTTAGGAAGATTCCAATCTAGTTTGAGAAGCAAGAGACACAGATAAACAACAAAGCAAGGCACTTTATCCTAACATACTTTTAGTTATATCTTAACTATGGCAAACTATTTCATCAATTATACAAAGTATGAGGTAGTTTAGGGGCTATAATAAGGACCTTGAAATTCAGGCTGACAATATCAGAGTTTACGTTTTGGATAAATGGAAGCTACTGACTATGAGAGTATGATAGTCCCCTGATATCAAGCTGTATTTCCATTTATGTGAGTGTGTGCGGTACTGAGACAAGGTCTCTCTATCTTTTCCCTGGCTGGCCTTGAACTCACAATCCTTCCTGCCTCCATTTCCCAAGTAGCTGGGATTACGGATATGCACCGTCATGCAAAATGTATTTCCAAAATATTAATATGTTGGTAAGATACAGACTATATCTACGATACAAAACACTGAATTTAAGAAAACCTGTTAGAAGGCTCTTGTGCATCCAATGGTCCAGGTTTGAAGGATTATGGGTTTGAATCACTGAGTCAACAAACATTATTTTAGCACTCATTGTGTGTCCTCAATAATTTATAGTATGTCCTCAATAATTACATAGATTAGAAAAGTGGGTCATACAAATAAATAATTACAATATCATAAAACAATTGTGATATGATTATTTAATAGGTGATAAGATAAATACAAAATAAAATGTGAACTTTGGCAGCAGAATGACCAACTTTACCTAAAGAGAAAATTAACATTGCTTTACTAAGGAAGCAACATTTGAACTGAGTCTTAAGGGAAAGGAAAGACTAACAGTGCACCATTAATCAATTAATTAATTAGAATGAATGACATAGCATATGTAAATCCTTTTAAATTGTTCAGTGTGGTTGGGGGCAAGAAGTTAGGGAAGAAAAGGTCAAAGGGGCCAGATATGGATGGGTCTTCAATACTGCAGTGCAGAAATTTATATTGTTTTATATTTATAAAAAAAATTAGGTGTACTTTTTATATAACCAAATTCATAGTTTATAAAATTATGTGGATTTCCATGGGTCAACAGATGTTTGTATCTGTTTCTAAGGATCACTGCAAAGATGATTCTAAAGTTTGTAATGAGATTGATAGGCAAATAGTGAAAAACAAATAGAGGAGCTGTGTTTGGTAGAAACAATGACCTTTGTTACTCATTTTGATCTGTGGTCATTTTGGGACATAAACTTTAACTTTCTTGACAAGACATTGGAGATGTGGGGCTCACAAAAAAGCCCCATGGAGACAGAAAAGATTTGAAAGACATATATCTGAAGCCTAAAGGGTAGATTAGAGCTCTGAGGAGAAACAAAATAAAGAGGATTAGAGAAAGATTGAAGTGGGGATGGAAAAAGAATGGTTTTATGGATACAGAGAAATGCCAAGCTATGAAAGAATTTGAAGCAGAGATACAATACAGGAGGCCATTTTGACTAAGTTCTAAAGAAAGCCTATTTATTTTGAATTAGACACTTTGGAGTAAATGCTTCTACAGTAATAAACACTAAATAATTTAGGCATTAAAAAAGTAAATGTTATCTGTATAGTCATAGTAGCATTATTCACAATAGTCAAAAGGTGGAAGTAACCCAAATATTCAGCAACAGATGAAGAGATTCATAAAGTATGGAATACACATACAATGGGAGAGAATTCAGCCTAAAAAAGGAAGGAATTCTGACATGTCATAGGTATGACACAACATCTGACATCTGAAGGAATTATAATACAGCATAGACAAACCTCGATGACAATTACACTAAGTGAAATAAACAAGTCGCAAAAGGATAGATATTGTATTATTCTACTTATATGACTTTATAAAGACAAAAAAGCAGAGTGGCAAATGTCAGGGCAGAGATAGGGGGGAGCAGTTGTTTAATGAGTATAGTTTTAGTTTACTTAGTTGAAGAAAGGCTTTGAGATTGGAGATGGTTCCACAATCTGAATGTATTTAATGGTACTGAACGGATGACTAAACATGGCAAATTTTCTGTGACGTACATTTTACTACAATTGAAAAAGGAAACCATGTCAAGCCATCTCTAAGTAGCTTGGAATAAGAGCTTTGAGAAATTTTGCTCCTGAGGGTGAAAGCCAGAGGAATATTCTTGACAAGGCAAGACACCAGGAACTCCCTTGTATTCTGCAGAATATATGAACCTGCCTTCCTTCCCGTGTATTTAAGGTAAATCCCCTAGGCTGGTCTCCTGGGAGGCAGTGGATCTTTTGAGAGGCCCTTAGGTCACTGGGGAAGTGTCCTTGAAGGGGATTATAGGACCCTGGTCCTTTGCTTTCTCTTTTTTGCTTCCTGGATTTTTGCTCTATCATGCACTCCTGCCTCACCACAGGTTCAAACAGCAGGACTAAACCTTTCACTGGAGCCTCCAAAACTTTGATCTAAAGCAAACCTTTCCTCTTTATAACTTGATTATCTCAGCTATTTTATCATAGTAACAGAGCTGACTAATAAAATAACAATACATATGTTTAGGTTTCTTGAATTAAAGGTTATAGAGCCACAAAGAGACAATTTCTTGTCACCAGCAAAACCACTAAGAAGGTCAGGAGAGGCCTTAACATACTTCTACTTTTTAGGGTATTTAGCATATTATTACAACAAAAAAGTCAAAGGAGGGTGAAAAAAATCATGGTCTATATTAATGTTTACATTTACATAGTAATTCTTTTAATACCACAAACACAATCAAGTAACTGTACCAGTCAAAAGATAATCTATTAGATGACTCATAAAAATATTCATATACAATGCATAACTTATAGTACTGCCCAATAATAGGATACAAATGAGATCTTTAAAATCTAATAGTCCTGTGAGTATATTACTGTGATTTTTGTCTTTTTAAACCAGATTTGAAGTTAATGTGAAAAGTCTACATTTGAGACATTTTGTGAATGTGAAATACTCTCCTGATTCCACTTACATTCCCAAAGGAAAAATTTCAAGATAAAAAGTATAAAAATTTGAAGATGTCTTCATAATGTATAAATTTCTATGTGAAAGATAATTAACTATTTATTATTTTTGTTATGATCTCCTAAATTGACTAATGGCAGGCTTAATCACACAAAAAGTATTAGACCTGTGATTTTTAAAAATGCCTTTACAAAGCTGGCTGTCAAAATGTAAAAGTACAATATAAAAGAATTAAAGCCCAGACAACAATTTTTAATACTAATAGGAAACAATGTATATGTATAATACAGTACCCAAATGATATAATGAAGAATTTATAATGTTGTATGAATCACTGATGCAAGATGAGAAAATGCAGGAGAAGCAAGCTGCACAGAGCCAAATATGTCTTGCACTCATATTTTGGAGTTATTAGCTCATATACAAAAGACACTCAAATTCAAATAATAATTATAGAATCTGGGTAGTAAGTGCATGCTATATACTAGGCTCTGTGCTTTATTTAAGAATGCTAATCTCACTTAGTTCACACAACTACTTGAAAGGTAAGTTCCATTATTAGCATTTCATAAGAAAAATTATACATGGGAGGAAATGACAACCAAAGTCACAAAGCTATCAACAGAGGGACTACAAAAAAGGTACAGTAGCCTTTCTAGCCCAACTATCTACGCTCTTCACCACTGATTTCTTCTTCTGTCCTGAATTCACACAAACCTGTGATTTCAGTGCAATTTCTAATTTAAAAAATGAGTTTTCCCCATTATATTTTTGCTTAATGCAAGGATAAAGACAATATAGTGTAGTAGAAGCAGTATAGAGCTACAGGTGGCTTGGTTCTAGTTCTAGCCACCAATAACTGTCAAAGCCAAATTCCTGAGCTTGCTGTTTGCTTGTCTGTAAAATGGGGATGCTAGACCTGTTTTAATTCACAGAACTCATGGCAAAATAAAGGAGAAAATACATAGCAAAGAAGCTGAAAATGTTTAACAATTTTAAAAATGGAAAACATCATTATTGTTATACTATTTAAATACTTTATGCTTTACTTATTTCTAAAATTATTTTTGACAATAAAAGACAAAATGTAGACTCAGGAAAATAGCTATTAAAATTAGAGAATTTTTAAAACAAAATTTTAGTTTACTTTTACTAAATTGTCTTAGAATCAGCTTTGATTTTTAACTTGTAGGACACTGTATATATAGTAGTATTTTTTGTGCATTAGTGATTAAAAGTGGCTAACATTTCCTTTAATGGTTTAGAAGTGGAATGTGATGTTCTTGATATGATAAGCTTATTTCCTTTTTTGCAGAAGTTTTCTTTCTTCTGACAGTTATAAAGACTTCTGGGTCATAAAATTATCTCAGCCTTTACTATGAATTTCTTTAGCACTTTTATTTTCAGCATTATTCTTTAGGTTTGTACATATTCATATAAAAATAATGCTGTATATTTTTTTCACAGCAGTGGGGATTGAACTCAAAGCCTCATACTTGCTAGGCAAGCAACTCTGCCACTTGAGCCACACACCCCAGTCCTTTCGCTTTTTGTTTGTTTTTCAGATAGGGTCTTGTACTTTTGCCTGGGTCAACCTTGGACCTTGATCCTCCTATCTCTGCCTTCCAAGTAGCTGGAATTACAGCATGTACCCCATGCCTAGCCTATACTACAAATGTTTATAGAGTACATTATAACACATCAGACATTTAACTAAGAACTAGAAATTAATAGAAAGTAATGAGACAAAACCTACCACTACCAGACTATTTTCTGTGGCTATAAAAATGAAAATAGTAAGTGTATTCTTTTCATACAAAACATGAATAAAATTCAAAGCTCCAAAAAAGTATAAATACGGTAAGTACTTTGGATATTTTGTTCTAATTTTATGCAAGCATGCTTAACAAAGTGATGAACATGTTTACTTACTCGTATACCTTTAGGACCTGGGTTACCTTCTGCTCCAACTAAACCCTAGTGTGGACAAAAGACATTGTCATCCTATTACAGTACTTTTAAAGCATTAATAACACATACATTGATAAAATTATAAAGAGGCATCGTTTTTCAAAACTATACGACTCAGAACTCTATACCCAAAAAGGATTACAAATGGTCAAGGAATTTTAGAATTTCAGAACCAAAAGAAATATTGGATATAATCTATAGACAAATATTTTAGTTATCTATCTATAGTACATTAACACATATTGTCAGATACAAGAAAATTTTTCCCCAAATTATTTCTCATTAGAAAGCCATCTGTGTTTTAAATACTTCTAACTAACTTACTAAAAAATATATTTCAATAAATTTTTTAAAAGTTGAATATTTTATAAACTTTGAATTATGGTCCATATGTATAAATGTTCATATTTTATTTTTAAGACAACATGTATAATCAGTTGATGATAAGTGTATAATACATAATACCTCCACATATATTTGAATGCCTAAAAATGGAATTTCATCTGATTTTCCTCATTCTTGAGAAAAAGGACAGAAATGCGGCTTTCTATATTTAATTAATTTTACAAATAACCAATTTATGAAAACCTAAGAAGGAAAATTTGCTCTATTATCAATGTATAAGAAATAGCAAGAGAAAATTAGAAATTAGTGGGGATACACGTGAAATTATTACAATGAAATTTCTACACAGCATACAAAAAACTGAAATCAGTTTAGATAAAAGTATTTTATAGTGGAATATGCATTACATTATTATGTAATACATAATAATTATACTTCATTATGTCTTACTAAGAAATAGTGGTTATTAAAAAGAGCCCTCACCCTTACTCTTACTTCATTTTTGACTGTAAAATCAGCATGAGGCCGTTTGAAGAGACCAGTGGTCATCACCTCAAAGGTTTAAAAGTCCCACTCCCATTTCAAACAAGACTTTTGGCAGTCACATCTTTGAAGGATTTTTACAGTGTTGATTTTGAAATCATTTCTCTGTAAGTACTTCATCATTTGATAAAAGTAAGCCAATTGTTATTTACATTAATTCTGAGAATCAAAGCATACAATATATTAATGAGGATGAATATAAAAGGAAAAGTGTAAATATAGTTACTGCACCTGCCTGCCAGGGTAGCCAGGTGAGCCAATATTACCAGTGAATCCAGGAAGTCCCTGAAATGAAAAATAAGATAAATAAAACAACAGAAAAAATCCAAAGGAGGTCCAAGGAAATAAATTTGGTGCATTTATAACATCCAAGTATGGAAAGATTTTTTTCCCATAAATTTAAGAGTCCTGAACATTGCTTATCTTACTGAAATCATCATTTGAAGGAAAATGACCCAAAATTACTTAACAAAAATAAATAAAACTGTTAAGTTAGGGTTTTAAATGAAACACTGATAATTAATAATGACAAATCTAGGATAGAAAAACCCCTTGTTAGTGACTAAAGCAAATATTTATTCTAGAGGAAGATCTGATGCATTTCTTAGTAACTCCTTATCTCAATCATCCTGCAACATCCCTCAACTGTCCAAGCACGAGCCTCAGAAGACTAAGAAGGGCAGTGAACTTCAAAACCAGTCAGGGGTTTATAATTCTCCTCGTAGAGGTCTTTCACATCTTTTGTTAGGTTTACTCCTAGGTATTTGATTTTTTTTTGAGGCTATTGTAAATGGAATTGTTTCCATATATTCCTTCTCAGTTTGTTCCTGTTGGTATATGGAAAAGCTAGTGATTTTTGTAAGTTGATTTTGTATCCTGCCACCTTGCTATAACTATTTATGGTGTCTAAGAGTTTTTGGGTAGAGTTTTTTGGGTCTTTAAGGTATAGAATCATATCATCTGCAAATAGGGGTTTTTTGACAGTTTCTTTACCTATTTGTATTCCTTTTATTTCTTCTTCTTGCCTAATTGCTCTGGCTAGAAATTCCAGTACTATGTTGAAAAGGAGTGGGGATAGTAGGCACCCTTGTGTTGTTCCTGATTTTAGGGGAAATGGTTTCAGTTTTTCACCATTAATTATGATGTTGGCTGTAGGTTTATCATACATTTATACACAATGGAATTTTACTCATCCATGAAGAAAAATGAAATCTTATCATTTGCAAGTAAATGGATGGAACTGAGAACATCATTCTGAGCGAGGTCAGACAGGCTCAGAAGACCAAAAAATCATATGTTCTCCCTCATATGCAGTCTTTAGATCAAGGGCAAATACAGCAATGTTGTAGGATTTGGGTTACATGACAAGGGGAGAACATATACAGGAGTTATGGGGTTAGATAAAAAACCCAAAACATGAAACCATTTAATGTCCCCACTCCAGAGGAATTAATACAGAAACCTTAAAATGACAGAGGTCAACACGAGAAGGGGATCAGGAACCAGTGTAAAGACCAGTTAGAGATGAATCAACCTGGGTTGTAACACATTTGTACATGAAAGCAATGCTAGCTGTCCTTATCTCAACTAGCAAAAATGCTATGTCTTTCTTATTATTGCTTATTTCTACTCTTCAGCGGAACTGGAGAAAAGTGCAGAACAGGTTCTGCCTGAAAGGGAGGGTGGGGGAGAGGGTGGGAATGGGAGCAAGAGGAAGAAATGACCCAAACAATGTATGCACATGTGAATAAATGAATAATTAAAAAAAAACCAAACTCTTCTTCCTCCTAAGGTAAATGTATTTTTATAGCAAGTCTGATTAAGTAAATAGGTATTAAGTGATAAATATATTTATCATGACATGGGTATACCTGAAATTCACACAGAAAATTTGATGATGCTAACTCTGAATGCCTGACCCCCAAAATTCACATGCTGAAATCCTAAACTTAATGGTCTACTAGGAGGCACTACCATTGGGAGGTAAGTAGGTCATGTGGGTGGAGCCCTCGTGAATAGGCCTAAAGCCCGTAAAAGAAGTGATTAGATAGCTAGTTAGCCCTCTTTCTATACCATGTGAGGATACAAGAAGAAGTTAGTGATCTATAACCTAGAAGAGGGTCCTCAGCAGAACACAACCATGGTGGTGTACTGATCTCAGACTTCAGCCTCCAGAATTGTGAAAGATAAATTTATTGTCTACAAGCCACCCTAGTCTGTGGTGGCTATTCTGTTAGAGCAGCACAAACTGACTTAGATAGACATTAAACTCATTTGGAATTGGCAATTTTGTATTCTTGATTTAAAACAAGGTTTGCTCAAGTAAATGTTGTAGACACTCAAAAGCATAAGAAAAGAAACCTGCTGCAGAACTGGTGGAAAAGTGAAACTAAATATCTGCCTTTCTTTTCTACCATTTTCTTTCATTGGTATATTAGCCACTCAATCATTCATCAGTATAGTTAGAATTTAGGTTTCTTAAACAATTCTTGTATGAAGGAAATGCCAGAGAATGTGTGTTCAACTGCCTTTATTTAACTTAAATGATAAAAATAGTGGAGAGTGTTCCAGGGACCTTACATGTAATGTCCATTTCTTGCTTATTGTTTGAAAAAGAGATAATAAAAATGACTAGTCCTTTGTCCCTATCCTCTGAGGTAGACCACCATCCCTTTTTCTAACCTAATTCCTAGTCAAACTTGATTAACTGATCTCAATAGAGAGCAAATCTGCTTTAGGTCATAAGTAAAATCTGATTTTCAGTGGGTTTTCAAATGTAGAGTCTAACACATTCTAGCCATACAGAGAAAAACACAAAAGAATTCCACTCACTGTCTAAATTCTGGTATACTAGAATAGCATTAAATAACGAAAACAAGTAAGCATTCAGCATAGTCATTATATGGCATATTTTGGGCCAATCATACCCTAAAATCACTGTGACAACCACAGAAACTCAAAAGAAACAATTGGACTCAATCCCTTTGCACTTAAAAAGGGATTTTTTAAAAAGGTGAAACACTCAAATTGTAGATTGTCTGGAAGAGATAAAGTTGTATCACTAGCCCTTTGAGAAATTAGGATTAGGAAATTAGGAAACCTGCCCCAATCTCACTTCACATTCAAAGCATTAAGACACCCATGTGGAATTCACTGGACTTTATTCAGAATCCTAGCATGGTTACTATAGGTTTTCTCTATATAATCTCAGTTTTCTCATTCGTAAATAGAATTACAATAACTAGGTCATGAGATCATTGTGTGGAGTAAATAGGACAATGTGTAAGAATATCTTTAAAAGTGGGAGGGCTGATCAGGCTCATACCCATAAATCCTAGCTACTCAGAAGACTGAGGTCTGAAGAATCACCAATCCAGGCAAAAAAGTTTGTGAGACCCCATCTCAATGGAAAAAAAGCTGAGTGTGGTGGCATATGTCTGTCATCCTAGCAACAGAGGCAGGAAGTGTAAAACAGAAGAATTGTGTTCCTCCTATTTATGCTTACAGACAGGCACACACCACCATGCCCCATCTCCTGTATAGCCTGGGATGACAGATGTGTCCACCATGCCCAGCAATGGTTGCGATGGGGTCTCACTAACTGTTTGCCCAGACTCACCTGAAACCAGGATCTTCCCAATCTCAGCCTTCCAAGTAGCTAAAGCAACTCTTATTACTAGAATTCACACAGATGATTTAATTGCTTTTCTAAATGTTTGCTGACCATTTACAAATTTTCCAGAAATAAAGTCTTTCAGCAAATCAGTTATATATGTCCACAATATTTTCACACTTAAAATGCAAAATTATTTTAGTTGCTTCTCCAAGTTAATACAAACTTTGACTCTTCCAGAAACAAACAAAATAGAAAGAACTCCAAAATATATATTTTCCTATCTTTAAAACTGATTTTAGACTCCTAGAAATGTTAGTAACATGTACACTAAAAGAGCTGGGTAATGGACCAGTTGTATGGGAACTGGTCAGTTCTGATGCAAGGCCAAATTTTCTCTGACTTGTGAAGTCTCAGGTTTCCTTCATAGGAATCCACACATTTCTGCCAAAGCAGTATTCTAGGGATTTATTTTTCTCCCCAGAGACTAGTTTGTACCAACCTTCTCATATTTTTTCTCCATAAATGTTCAAATGCTTTTCAACACTTATATGATCTTGACGAAACCAAGACTGCACCTGTTACAGATACATATGTTGCTTTGCTGGCTGTGTAATTAGTAATGTTGAAAAACTGTGCTTCAGAGACTCAGCACTTTCGTACTCAGCCTGAAGGAAAGAATTGGCTTTGTTTTGCTTTTTGTTTTTTGATCCCTCAGGGGTCAAACTTCACTCTTCCTGAAGGTCCCTTGAGGACTTCCTGAGGCTCTTTGCTGAATAGTGAATAATGGTTTCCATCACCTTAGTTGGTTTCATCTACCCTTTCCACTGTTTCATTCATACTGGCATTGAAAACAAGAAATGTGACTCTAGTTTAGCCTATGTTATAATGATCTATTATTTTCTGGTGGGAGAGAAAAGCAATAACATGATCAAAAACTAAGTATCTCCAAAACTGTTTTGGCTTTTAAGTAGTGAGTATGAACTAGGAACATGATATATGTACTATTCTAATTTGGTTGTCATTAAATTTTATTTGCATTTCCTTATGCAAGAAAAAGGAAAGTAACGGCTATAGATTAGGCTTTAGTGAACAGATAAGCCCCTGAAATTATACAAAAACTCAGGTATTTGTGTATACATATATTTTCTGGGAAAGAGTCTGCAGCATTTCTGACATTCTCAAAGGAGCCTATGAACCACAGAAGGTTAAGAAGTACTATTTTGGAACATGTTAGGCAAATAGTGAAAGTGAACAGTGAAATATTATTTATTAAAATTTTTAAACAAAACTACTGCTAATCAATCAAAGATTGTCTTGCATTAAGTTGAATGTAAATCATGGAGAAGAAAAAGTGAAAAGGTAGGGGAAAATAACCTCTCCAAAGAATCCCGTCAAGGATGTCTTTTTCAAAAGAAAGACAAAAAAAAAAAAAAAAAGGATGTCTTTTTTACTAGTGAATATAAGAGTACTTACTTGCTCACCACGGAGTCCAGGAGCCCTGGATGTCCTTTGAGACCCTACAAGGAAAAACGTAAAAGTATGCTACAAAAGTAAATTTATATTAACAAAATAATGAAACATAGGTTCTAGACTGCTTTACTATAGCTTTCAGTTCTCTCATCAATACAATATAATTCTTCCC